GCACAAAATACATATATTGGAAAAGAGAAAGTCTCAAATCAATAATCTAAGCTCTAATTTTAAGACCTTAGAAAAAGAAGAACAAGGTAAATAAAGCAAACAGAAGGAAGGAAATAAAAACAATCACTGAAATTAGAAACAGAGGGGCGCCTGGGTGGCTCAGTCAGTTATGGAGCCCCATACGGGCCTCCATGCTGGGCGTGGAGCTTGCTTAAGATTCTCTCTCTCCCTCTCCTTCTGCCCCTACCCCCCCTCTAAAAAAAATAAAATGAAATTAGAAACAGAAAAACTAGAGAAAATCAACAAAATCAAGAGCTGATTCTTGGAAAAGATCAATAAAATTGACAAACTAATACAAAGACTGACAAAGAAAAAAGGTTAGACAAAATATAAATGCAAGGAATGAGACAGCAGCTATCATGAAGAGCCTTGCAGACATCAAAGGGATGAGGGATACTAAGAACAACGCTACACAAATAAACCGACTTAGACAAACTGACCCAAACTACCCCAATTCGTTCAATATGAAATAAATAATTTCAATAGTCCTACATTAGTATTATGGAAATTAAATTCATAATTTTAACCCCCCCCAAAAAAAACTCCAGACACAGATGGTTTCAGTGGAGAATTCTACCAACGGTTTTATGAAGAATTAACACCAATTCTACACAATCTCCTTCAGAAGGTAGAAGAAAAAAAGAAACACTTTGCAATTCATTTTATGAAGTCAGTATATACCCTAAAACAAAAATCAAAGTGTACAAAAGAAAAAAAAAATCCTGCCCTTAAGAATATAGGTGCAAAAATCCTTTAAAAACATTAGCAAATATAATTCAGCAAAATACAAGAATTACAAGCTATTCTTCTAGTGATGCAAGGATGGTTTAGTATTTGAAAATCAATTAATGTAATCAATTACATTAATAGACTAAAGAAGAATATTCCACGATCATACCAACGCATGCAGAAAAGCATTTGACAAAAGTCAACACCCATTTATGATAAAAACTCTCAGGGAAAAAGTAGGAATAGAAGGGAACTTCCTCAACTTGATAAAGAGGTTTAAAAACCCCCACATCTAACATCACACTTGGGGTTGAACCCTTTCCCCTCTGAAGACAAGGAACAAGACAAGGACTTCTCTCATCACTGTGATTCAACATATTGTTGGAGCTCTAGCCAGTATGGCAAGGCAGGAAAAGGAAATAAAAGGCACACTGATGAAAAGGGAAGAAACAAAACTGTCCCTATTTGCAGATAATATGAAATGCTTACATATAAACTTACCAAAACATGTGTAGGACTTACATGATGGAAACCACAAAGTGCTGATGAAAGAAATCAAAGATCTAAATAAATGGGGAGATATACCATGTTCATGAACTGTGATTTATCACAATAAAGATGTCAATTCTCTCCAAGTTGATATACAGTTTTAACTTAATTCCTATCAAAATCCAGCAATAATTTCATGGATATAGATAAGATTATTGCAAAATTTATATGAAAAAGCAAAGGAACTAGAATAGCTAAAATGACTTTGACAAAGAAAAATAAAATAGAAGGAATCAGTCTCCCCAGTTTTAAGACTTACTACACAGCTACTGTAATCAAGACTGTGTGGTACTGTCAGAGGGAGAGACACACAGATCAATGGGACAGAACAGAGAACCCAGAAACAGACCCACACAAATATGCCCAATTGATTTTTGACAAAGATGTAAGCGCAGTTCATTGCAGGAAAGATGGCTTTTTCAACAAATGGTGCTAGGGCAATTGGATGTCCGTGGGCAAAAAAATAACCTTTGACCTAAATTTCATATCTTATGTAAAAATTGACCCCAAATGGATTATAGACTTACATGTACAATGTAAAGCTATAAAACTTCTGGGAAAAAAAGAAATAAATTCTAAAGATCTAGGGCAAGGCAGAATTCTTGGACTGACACAAAAAGCATGTTGTTCAAAAGGAAAAACTGACAAATCAGATGTTTTAGGAGTAAAAACCTTTGCAAAAAAAAAAAAAACATGTTTAGAGGATGAAAAGACAAGCCATAGACTGGGAGAAAATATTTGCAAACCACATTTCTGACAAAGAGCTAACTTCTAAGATACATAAAGAATGATCACACTCAACGGTAAAAAACTAAACAATCCAATTAGAAAATGGGCAAAAAATATGGTTATTTCACCAAAGAAGATATATCTGTAGATGGCAAACGAGCACGTGAGAAGGTGTTCAATGTCACCAGCCCTTAGGGAGATGCACCTCGAAACCACACGGGATACCACCACACACCTGTGAGAATGGCTACAATAAAAAACAGTGGCCACCCCAAACACTGGCGAGGGTGCGGAGAAGCGGGTCACGCACACGGCTGATGGGAATGTAACAGGTGCAGCCACCCCAGAGAGCAGTCTCGTGGTTTCTTAAAAACCAAACATGTGCATTCATTCCAGAGAAATGAAAATTTACGTCCTCACAAAAACCTGTACGTGATTTTCAGAGCAGCTTTATTTATCTTAACTGCCCCAGACTGGAAGCACCTTCAACCAGCGATTGGTTAAATAGTCATGGGATATGGGACGTGCGCAGCAGCGACCGGGCAAGAAGTCCTCTGCTATAAAGCAGAACAGATTACTGATTCACTCGACAACCTGGATGAAGCTCCAGGGAACCAGGCTGAGTGAAGTCAGTCAATCCCCAAAGATTACCCACTGTGATTTCATTAGGTAACAGTCTTGAAAGGACAGAATTACAGGAGTGGAGAACAGATTGTTGGTCTCCAGGGTGAAGGAGGGGGTAGGAACAGGAGGTCAATGCCTGTGGCTCTGGGAGGACAGCATGGGGATCCGCGTGGGGGTCCGTGGTTCTGCATCAGCACCAACATCCTGGTGTTGGGGGAAACTGAGTAAAGGGTGCATGGAATCCCTCTGTGCTACTCCTCTTACAACTGCATGTGAATCAACGGTTACCACAAATACACAATTTAATAATAATGAAAGAAAGCAGCTGCTTTAGACTGTTGAATCTCAGATCTGTACCTCTGAAACAAATAATGCAATATATGTTAAGAAAAAAAAAAAGAAGAAGAAGAAGAAGGTATCGGGAGGGGAAGAATGAAGCGGGGGAAATCGGAGGGGTAGACGAACCATGAGAGACGATGGACTCTGAAAAACAAACAGGGTTCTAGAGGGGAGGGGGGTGGGAGGATGGGTTAGCCTGGTGGTGGGTATTGAGGAGGGCACGTTCTGCGTGGAGCACTGGGTGTTATGCACAAACAATGAATCATGGAACACTTCATCTAAAACTAATGATGTAATGTATGGGGATTAACATAAGAATAAAAAATTAAAAAAAAAAAAAAGAAAGAAAGCAGCTGCTTTGACCCAAGATTGTACCAGGCAACTATTAATTCACGAAAGAGAAAGGGAGCCAAATATTTGCTCAGATAATTCCAACAAAAGAACTATCCTGACACTGTGAGGAGATTGAAGTTATAAAAAAAATAAAAGCCAGATAGCAAAAACTCACGAGCTCCTTTTGAGGGAAAGCATTTCGACCAAGTCCCTGGCTTTGATGCTAAGTCAGAACACCCACCTCATTCCTTCACCACCCACCCACTCACTCACTCTCACACTCTCACCTACACACCCACTCATACCCACACTCACTCATACCCTCACCAACACACCCATTCATTACTCATCCACCCACTCACACTCTCACCTACACATTCTCACACTCACTCATACCCTCACCTACACACCCATTCTCACACTCACTCCCACACTAACACACGCACTCATTCACACCCACCCATACATCCACTCACTCTCACACAACACATCCATCCACATTCACACCCCTATACATCCACCTACTCACCTACACACCCACTCACTCACACACTCACTCCTACACTCCCACTCATCCCCACATCCTTACACTCACACTCATCTACACACCCTCTCATATTCACACCACCACCCACACACCCACTCACTGACACACGCTCACCTACTCCTTCACTCTCACGCATACACTCACCTTCACACATGTGCCCATCTACTTGTACACACCTGCTCACACACTCGCACACATGTGGGTCTTTCCCCGTGCCCTGCCCACTTCACCAGTCTGTGTGGTCCTGAGCAAGCAGGAGGTATGGCAGGCACGTCCCTTGAGAACCTCTAGTACCAGCTTGGCCTTGGCCATCCCGGGAGATGGGGCCTGGCCAGAGGATGCCCTGTGCCATCACCATTCTGTGTATCTCACGGACCTTGGGCGTGGATGGCATGTTTAGGGGCACACGGAACGTACCCACGACTCTGAGAACCGCACACAGCCGATATTTCTTTGCCCCAGTCTGTGGTGGGGACGCCACTGCGCCTCCAAACATCACAAACAAAAGGAAAAAGGACTCCCAGCCCTTCCCATAAGGCCGGAGCCCAAGGCCTACCCATGCAGGGTCCGTCCCATGTGCCCCTGGGGGCATAGAGACTCTGCACTGATTCCCTCCAGGGCAGGTAGAAGAGTGTGTGTACCCACTGGTTCTGGACACAGTGTGCAGAGGACATGGCCTCCTGACAGTCACACTCTGTGGTCATGACTGGCCGCCCGGACAGGGTGCTTTCCCCGGGATACGTGGAGGGTGTTCCTTGCCGCACATCACCAGCGACCTTCCAGAACCTCAAATCAGGCCATCATCCCCTTGCTGAAACTTGTGGGCATCTTCCCATTACCCAGGTAATTCCAGCTAGGCTCCTTCCCTCCCAGAACACTGCCCCAGGCCTCTGGCGCCAGACTCCCCAGCCCTACCGCTTGCTTCCCCGGGACAGGCCAAGTCCATGCCCGCCGCCTGGGCCTCCTGCTGTGCCCTGGGCCTCCTGCTGAGGGCGCTCCCAGCCAGGCCTCCACCTGCACCCAGTCTCTCCTGGGCTGTCTTCCCCCACCGGCCTGGCCCTGTCACCCTGTGGGCAGAGGACCCATTTACCTTCATTCAATACTGAACCCGCAGTTCCCAGCACCATCCTGGGCCTACAAGAGAGCAGAGCAAATTCAGCAGCATTCAAAGATCGGGTGAACAGGTATACTGAGCACTGAGCCCAGGTCCGTCTCCATGGCCTCACAGGACATTCTGAAATCAGAATTTAGTGATTTCTAAACTTGGACACTCATGAAACATCCAAGATTGGCTTTCCATTCCTCCTAGGCCCTCACCTCTTCACTCATTCATGTGGCCACTGAGGGTCTGCTGGGGGCCGGCCTGTGCAGGGCTGTGGGGATGCCAATTCCATTAGTTTCTGGTCTCTTTGGATTGTTTCTTCCTTTCCGCTTGCTTGTTCTTGTTCTTTTCTTCTAGTTTCTGAAAGTGGGACCTTAGATTATTGTCTTGAGCTCTTTTCTCATGTTGGCATTTCAGGCTACAGATTTCTCTAGAGGTGCTGATTTACTTGTATCCAACAAGTTCTGTTATATACAAATATTGCTCTCAGTTCAAGATATTCTGCAATTGCCTTTGATACTTCCTCTTTTACCAGCACATTATTTAGAGGTGTGTGTCTTGATTTTTAAGTATTTGGAAAAATTCTAGTTACCTTTGGTTACTGATTTCTAGTTTATTTCCACTCTGCTCAGAAAATACATTTCAGTTGTTTTAAATTTGTTAGTCTTTCATTTTTTTACACAGAATATGGCCCACCTTACAAACGTCCTGTGTGCACACGGATATGTGCGTCCTCCCGTTGTTGGGTGAGGTATCCCGTCCGGTGGCTGAGATCTAGTTGGTGGGCTATGCCAGTCCCTGGTTCTCTGCCTGTCCTGCCGTTACTGACAGGATGGACTTGGAATCTCCAACTGTAACTCTGGCTTCGTCCTCTCCGCCTTTCCGTTCTGTCAGTTTCTGTTTCGAGTACGGGAGGCCCTGTTATTCAATACACACACATTTGGGACTGAAAGGTCTTCTTGGTGAACTGGTCATTTTATATTGACGTGATGTTCCTCCTCACCCCTGGTGGTTTTCCTTGTCCTGAGCCCACTTCATCTGGTACTAATGTAGCCTCTCCAGCTGTCTTCTGATTAGTGTTCATGTGACACATCTTCTGTCCTTTAACTTTTAACCTACCAACGGTGTACTTCATGTGGCTGTCTTGTTGGGCACATTGACTGATCTTTTTTAATATATTCTGATAATCTCTCACTTTTTTTTTTTTTAAGATTTTTTATTTATTTATCTGAGAGAGAGAATGGGAGACAGAGAGCATGAGAGGGAGGAGGGTCAGAGGGAGAAGCAGACTCTCCGCCGAGCAGGGAGCCCGATGCGGGACTCGATCCCGGGACTCCAGGATCATGACCTGAGCCGAAGGCAGTCGCTTAACCGACTGAGCCACCCAGGCGCCCCGGTAATCTCTCACTTTTAATTGGTCTGTTTGCACAATTTTCTTTTATATTTGCAAACTGAATAATTGTCAATCTAATGTATATAGGTGTGTGTGCAATTTTGAAATAACTTTAGATCCATGACTGGTCGCAAAGATAACACAGAGTTTCTGTGTCCCTCACTCACTTCCATCTGACGTACCTGCAGCATGCTGCTACACGTCACTGCCATTGGTAAGATGCTGTGAACGATCTGCCCCTGTGTGTGTGCAGGTCTGTGAAGCCTTATCCCACCTTAGGTTTCTCTAGCCACTTACAAAGCAGGAGCACCAGAGACTCCTGATGCTCTCCCCAGCCCCAGGCCACCACTACCATTTTGTCCTTCCAAGAGCTTCGTATGAATCAAATCAAGCACGTGCAATCTTTGGCAATGGGCTTTTTTCCGCTCAGCACGTGGACGCTCTCGAGGTCACGGAGTTGGGCACAGCAGCGTGGGCTTGCTTCCTGCTGCGCAGCCACCCGTTTGCACAGCCCGGCCCCTCACGAAGGACGTCTGCGTTGCTTCCGGGTTTTGTCGATCACAAATAGAGCGGCCAGCACAACAGTGTGCACGTGTTTGTGGGACTGTCCAGAAGCGGGACTGCTGGATTGCACGTCAAGTGCCTGCTGATGCTGGTAAGAAACGGACATGCTGTTGGCTAGAGTGGCCGCACCGCTTCCCCCGGCAGCCAGCAGGCAGTCCAGCCGCCCTGCGTTCTTGCCCAAACCTGGGGCGGGGGGCGTTCTCACTGGAGCCACTTTCACGGGCGGCAGCGGTACCTCGTTGTGGTTTAATCTGCTTTCTCTTATAGCTTCACGTGCTCATTTCCCATCCACGCACCCTATTTGGAAATGTGCCGTGTAGGTCTTCTGTCCATTTTCCATCCAGAGCGCTTGCTTTCTTGCCGTGGAGTCTGAAGCACTCTCCGTATAGTGTGGATTCACACCCTCTGTTGGAATGTGATTTACAAAGATTTCCTCTGAGCTCCTGATGTGTCTTCTCACATCCTGACAGGGTCGTTCACAGAGCAAATGGTTTTTATTGTGACAAAGGTCAATTGCTCAATTTTATCTTTAGTGGATGTGCCTCTTTCTCCTATATTTTCTCCTAAAGAGTAGTTTTATGTTTTACATTCAGATATTTGATCCAATTTGAGTTAACTATTGAATAAGCTATGATGTTTAAGTCAAGGGTTTTTTGTTTTGTTTTGGGTTTTATTGTTTGTCTATAGATATCCAAAAGTTTCAATGCCATATCTTGAAAAGACTAGCCTTTCTGTATTAAATCGCTTTATTACCATTGTCCACACCCATGTGGGTGTACCCTGGCCCCTGGTGTGTTTCATTTATGTATGTGCCTATCTACTCACCACCGCCACACCTTGATTACTATACTGTTACCGCGTCCTAAAATTATTCCAACTTTATTCTTTTTCAAAACTGTCTTAGATTACCTAGTTCCTTTGTGTTTTCATGAACAATCTTAAAATCAACTTGTTTATATCTATAAACGCTCCCACTGGGACTTTGACAGGAACAGCATTAAACCTACAGAGCTGTCTGGGAGACATCAACATCTTTGTAATGTTGAGTGTCCCTGTGTGTGAACACGATGTCTTTGATTTCTCTCATTGGCATTTTGTAGTTTTCAGTATACAGAATCCTGTGCATATTTTGTTAGACCCAGAGCAAGTATCTAACTTTTCAGAGTTCTTGTAAATGGTATTGGGTTTTGAATTCAGTTTCTGATTGCTCATTGGTGGTCTGCAGAACAGTATTGACTTTTGTATGCTGACCTTGCATTCCTAAACAGGTGAACATGCTTAGTGGTTCCAGGAGTTTCTTGTAGACTTAATGCAGGCACTCATGTCATCTGCAAATAGAAGATAGGTTTATTTCTTCCTTCCAAATCTGTCTGCCTTTCATTTCTGTTTCCTGCCATACTCAGCTGGCTAAAACTGGGGGCACGATGCTCAACAGAGTGGTGAGAGCAGACACCCTTGTTTTGCTAATGATTTTAGGGGGAAGCATTAGTCTCTCACCATTAACTATAATGTTAGTTGGTAGGTATAGCTTATTACATTTTAAAAAAGAGAAATATTTATCTGAAAGAGACAGAACGTGCATGAGTTGGGGGACAGGCAGAGGGGGAAGGAGAAGGACAAGCAGACTCTGCACTGAGCAGGGAGCATGGAGCCAGTCGCGGGGCTCAGTCTCATGACCCCAAGATCATGACCTGAGCTGAAACCAAGAGTTGGACACTTAACCGACTGAGGCTCCCAGGTGCCCCTAGCTTATTCGGTTTTGATCAGAACCAAAACTTCGTTCAGTCTCTCATATTGATTAAACTGGCAAAATCTGTTTATAATCAATACTACTTAGAGAAATTCTGATAAATCAAATTTTCAATCATTCTTTCTTAAAAGAATATTCAAATCAACAGAATTCTAGTAAAATAAATACTGTCAGGGGCGCCTGGCGGGCTCAGTCGTTCGGCGTCTGCCTTCGGCTCAGGTCATGATCCCGGGGTCCTGGGATCGAGCCCCACGTCCGGCTTCCTGCTCCGCGGGGGGGGCCTACTTCTCCCTCTCGCTCTGCCCTCCCCCTCGCTCGTGCTCACTCTCACACATTCTCTCTCAAATTAATAAATAAAATCTTAAAAAAAACACTGTCCTAACGAGACGCAAGACTGTACAGCAGCAGGATGAGTGACAGTGCCCACACGCAAGTAGACCCACCCTGTCCTCATGCTGGAGGGGCCGCTTCCACCCGTTTTACGAGAAAAGCAGGCGCACGACAGTGAATGACAAGCTAGTTCGAGAGCCCATGCTCCGGACCACTAGACAATTTTCATGCTGGTCAAATACAAAACCCAGTGGTGGTGTTTCAGACGTGAAGGAAAGAGTGTCATGTTTGAAAGTGGCATGTAACGTCCCACTGTAAGGCTTGTTTCTTCAAGGAAAGAGTAGATTTGCATATTAAAGTAGAAGTTTCACAGCTGTCTGTGGAACTCACAACAGCAATCACGCTCACTCAAGCATACTCCCCCGCTCTCTCCCGACATGAGGCCTCTCACCCTCAGAGAAGGGAGCACCCGCCAAGAAACCTCCAGCTGAGCCCACGTGGCTGCAGGGAGAGCCAGGCCGGGCCGACAGCCCTGCCGTGGCCCCATTAGTGGTACTCAGTCCAGGGCTCACCCAGGGCCTCCGCTGTCTGGGGGGAGGTGGCCGTGGAAGGAACCTCGAGGGACAACCACAGACTTGATTTATCGTGTTTAACAGCTCAGTGCCCCGTTAGGCTGCAGGAGGCCAGGACAGCAGAAACCGACAGAGCCTATTAGCTGCTTTATGCTCCTTGAGAGACTCACAACGCAGATTATGTCCTTGAGGCCATGAAGGGGAGGGGAGGCTTCGGTAATGTAATGCTCTTGCCAGTCACAGTTAGCATTCGGCATTCGGAAGATTTTCAGCGCTTATGCAACCCTGACATCAGTGAGCATTCTACATGGCCTGCAGGCTCCTCACTCAGGTGTCCAGACAGACAAATGTGATGGGGCTGGGGAGCCTGCTCACCTTCCCTTCTTGCTCTAGAGGCCACCGCGTGTTGGCTTCATGTCTAGAATGCTGCAAAGCTTTTCTCTTTCTAGCAATGTGTGGGCTTCATCCAGGGATGCCGAGATTTCTTAGGCCTCCCTTTGGGTCCAGGGTATAGCCTACATCAGAGTGTATCTCTTACAAATGCTCCAGTTATTTCAAATATGCAATTCAAGATTTAGAACATCTTTGCTGTGGAGACAGGGCAGGACTCCTGAGACCTGTGTCTGGTCCTGTCTCTGACACCCCCACCCGCCCTGCAGTGACAAGCTGTGTGTGAACCTGACCCTCCCTGAGGCCATGGGTAACAGAGCCCTGGCTTCTGTGTGTCCAGCGCCCATGCTCAGTCCGTCTGCACACATTTTTATCTTCCCACAGACCCTCTGGCCACAGCGGGAAGCCTACACGGCAGCGACACGTGACCGGACACTCTGTTCTCACCAGGTGCCGGGCACAGGGTGCAGGACGGGGAAGCACAGTCCTTGAGTAGCTCACAGTTTGGAGAAGAAATTGAAACTACAGGCTGGGACAGCCAGCAATCCAAAAGGTTGAAACTCAACATTCAATCCCTACCTCACCTTCCAGATACACGTTCTAGATAGGTTAGAGATCCGAAATTTCCTCCTCTGGGAGGGAGGAAGGGACAGCTTCTCACAACCTCAGGGTCCAGGAGATGTGAAGGGGGGAGAGGCTGGGGGATGGTCCCATGCTTCTGCTGCAGTAGGAGAGCAGGGGACGTCCCTCCTTCCTGCCCTGGCCCTGGTCAGGGACATCACCCAGCCTGTTGCTGGCAGACGTCTGAGACCACAGGGAGAAGCAGGCCTGGGCGAACTGGGCCCAGAGAAGCCAGGAGAATGGCAGAAACACATGCGGCCCACCTAGCCGAGGGGCCTGCGGACTCAGCACTCTGTAGGTGCCAGTCAAGGAACGGCCCCCTTTCCTGATGTCCTGTGACTCAGCCGCTGGAGGCAGAGGGACAGAGCTGTGCTTACGGACTCCGTCCTCCACTTACAAGGATGGCAACACGATGCCGGGACCTGACCTGATTACCGAGGTATCTGTAGTGATGGGGCGTCCCGCCTGGGACACAGCAAGGAGCCAGTCATGTGGCACAGCCCAGGGGTGGAGATGCCCCGTACCAGCCGGGGGGCTCTGGGGACAGAAGACGCTGAGTCGGGATAATCCGGGCGCAGGGCTTAGGAACTTGCTTCGTGACCCGCACCCGCACAGCACCCCTGCCTGTCGTTACCTGCACGGTGGGTCTGCATATCCTGAATTTCAGGGCCCCTGGTAAGTAGGCCCCCTCTGAGCGTGCCCAGTGATACAGCGAGAGGCCAGCAAGGAGGGGCCACCACACTGTGAATGGGCACACAAGACCCAGAATAATCTACAAATAACTTCAAGAAAGGGTGGGTGAGTTTAAGGGGGTTTTCAAAAAAAAGATACCATTTACAAGAACATAAAATCAGTTAGGATAAATCTAACAAAAGGTGTGTGAAACCTTTTTGTAGAAATCTATAAAATATTACTAACAGAAATTAAAGAAGACCTAATAGACTAAACAAAAATTAAAGAAGATATAATAGACTCAAACACTTAATAAAGATGTTAATTCTCCCCAAATTGATCTGCAGATTCAATTTTATAGACAAGCTTGTTTCAAAATGTCTGTGAAAAATTCATCAGGCCAAGAGCAGCCAAGGCTTTCCCTAAGAAAAAGGACGAAGGGAAAAGTCCTATTTACGAGAAAGTACTTCAGCCCATGTGCTGGGGGCACAGGAGGAGACTAGCAGGCTGCCAGGACACAAGAGTCTGGACGCACGGACACTCGGGGAGCAGAGCGCAGGGCTCCCAACACACAAGCCCAGTGCATAGCACTGCGAGGGGAAAATGAGACCGGAGCCCCACCCCCAAATAAACTCCGGGCGCAGGGGCCCTCAAAGAGAAGACTGCGTAGGACACCATGAGCGGACAGAAGGACAGGGGCTTACGAGACACGGAGAGCTTCCGTGGTAACACACGGGCTGACAGGATGTCAGAATCACGGTTTGTCAACCGACCGGAGAGAGGACAGTGGCCCAGAACTGGGCAGAAGATCTCTGCAGCTCATGTACTCGCTCGGGGCTCCCATCTGGAAAACACTTCCACGCTGCTCCCGGAAACGTAGGCGGAGCCCAAACGGCAGCAGCTGCGCCCGACGGCAGTGGGTGTCATCAGCGGGGTGAGCGAAGCACAGACTGCAGTCACAGTGCGACACCGGCCGGCACAAACTCCAACACGAGCCGGACCCTACTTCCCGGAGCTGGTGAGCGCAAGGCCGCTGGGGGCTGAGCCACTGCCCCCCCCCCCCACCCCCGTTTACACCAGCACACTCAGTGCACAAGCTGGTCCCACCCGGGAGGGGCGCCACGTGCCTTTGATCAGCTAGAAATTCTAATATTGTGATCAAATATTAACAAATAGGATCAGCAACATAAGAAGACTAACAGTACACAATACCTGAATGAGGTTTATTTTTGAAATGTATGTAACTTAGCAGCAGGAATTCCGTTCCCAACGTAAAACAAGGAGGGCTCCGTAACCACACAAACAGTAACAGTACCCAACACTGACCCCGAGTCTCCCGGGTGCAAGTACAGTCCTCCCCCAAGCCCTGCAGGGAAGGCGCATCTCTAGGCCAGGGCGGCGGGCGGGGGTCAAGGGAGGAGCCTGCAGCTCACAGCTGGGGAGTGGGAAACAGAGCCCAGGGGCGCCCAGCTCTGCACGTGCTGCTTGTCCCCAGGTGCTGCAAAGGCCAGCAACAAAGCCCCACAGCCGCCGCGACGAGGGGAAAGAGGGACAGGAGAAACACCTCCGGTAAAGAGCACTTATCCCCCCAAAATTCAAGTCTGTGTCCTCATGACCATTTTTTACTGGGGAGGAGGCAGAGCACAGAGCTCCTAATTCTAGCTTTTATTATAACAAAGTGGTCACTTATACCAAGAAAACTGTGAGAACCTGGGAAGAATTTTAGATAAATACAACAAAAGAAAGGGTGCGCCAGGGACCATCCTCTTCTGTCAGGTCTGAGGCTCTGAGGACGGGAGGAGCCGGTCCTGCACATCACTGTCTCCCACAGAATCCCAGTGTGAGGAGAGGTCACCGTGCGGCCCTGGAGGGTCCGTCGGGGTGGCGGCGCCCCTCATCCTTCTGAGCCTGGCTAGGGTCAGGGACCCCTCGCTCACTCTGGAGCCCTGCCCTGGGATGCAGGGGTGAGGCAGCCGCTGGCAGGGAGGGCAGGGGAAGCACCCATAAGGGCACCAGAGCAAACCCCAGAGGAGGAGCTCAGAGCCCCCTTGGCCCTCAGGCCCCCCAGAGAGGAGGTTCTTATTACCTGAGGGGGCCCAGAGTGCAGAAGGGGCGTGCAGCCGGCCCAGCCCAGTGTTGGCCACCGCTCTGCCCAGGGCCACCCAGAGCCCCCTTCCTCAGTAGGTGTGTTTGTGGGGTGCACAGTGAAGGGTTCCCCTTATCGTGAGGGCCAGCAGCCCTTCCCTAAGAGGACTTAGGGTCACCTCAGCCCCCAGGATATGAGAGCTCATGGGCACAGAGATGTGACAGCACTGAAAACAGGATCACCAACCCTACGGCACGCGGATGGGACACAGAGGCCAGAGGCAGCGAGTGGCTTGCCCTCAGTCACAGGTGTGCAGCAGGAGGGCCCGGGGCCTGGGGGACCAGCCTTGTCACCTCAGGGCCC